TCTTGCTAATATTCTAAAAACTACCGACTAAACATTTTAAAAAGGCAAATTGTATGTTATGGGAATTATACCTCATTAAACCTGTAATTTTTTTTAAAAATCTATTCACTGATCTAGGTGTCTGACCTCTGAATTGCTGCAAAGTACATAACCCTAGCCAGTGGGTGACTGCCAGCTGTCAGTTATTTAAAGATAAAAGTAAAACAGGGTTTCTTCTCTGATTAACTTGATATGCAGCAAAGGCTGTGCTGCACTTCCTCGGGAGTATCTCTTACAGAGAACAGGATTCTGCTTCCCCACAGATTACAGAAATTTAAAAGCCCTAAATATTGTTAAATGACTTTGAAGTTAATCACAGCATCCACGCTTGGGGCAATTCTGTATGTCCTGACATGTTGTCCACCTGTCACGCAGACTATGCTGTACACCCTGCCCTCCAGGAACCAGGCACATTTCACAAGAACACCATCACCACGTGGCATCAGGAAGCAGTTTAATTATAACTAAAACTGTGAGGGGCTGGGGATTTAGCTCAGTGGTTCTGCTGCCTGCCTCGCAAGCACAAGGTCCTGAGTTCGGTACCAAAACAAACAAACAAAAAAACCCACCTGTGAGTACTGCCTCATAGGAATCTCTGGCCACTGTTTTCACAGGACATGCTGTATTTAGAATATTCCTGCTCAGCCCAGAGTGGCACTTCTGTAACCATGGAAACATTTACAGTAAGTTCAATAGTTGGTTTTATGGGGCTGGGGATTTAGCTCAGTAGTTCCGCCGCCTGCCTCACAAGCGCAAGGTCCTGAGTTCGATCCACAGTACCAAAAAAATAAATTTGGCTTTATGTCAAGGTCACCAGAATGAACTGTTTCCTTTAAACCTGAGGTCCGACATAACTTTCAGAGAGTGTGCATGTTTCAGAGTTTTCCATGTGCAGTTTTACTGGGGAAGCCTCTTACTTTTAGACCAGAAGCAAGCTTGGAAAACATAGTACATATTTAGCTTATTGTTTGAAGAAAAAAGACAAAAATAAGATGTCCTCTTATATATCCTACATTTCTTTCTTTTGTAGTTCTTTTTACTGGCACCCAATATGATTCCATTCGCTGTGGGTTGCATTTAAGATTTTTCTTTATCTTGATACCCAAAACATAGAAGTGATCTTTTGAAGATAGATAACTCATCTTATATTCTTGTCATTAGTGAATATTTAGAATATCTAATAGCTCTTAACCTGTCAGATGAGTCTTGTGGAGATCTAAATAAGGCTTTATTTTACATAGTTTCCTGTAGCAGCACAACATTTCTGGGGCTGCTTCACTAGGAAAACTCTGTCAACAATCAGCATTTCACTGGCATTAACATGTAATAAAAGACAATGAAGCATGGCTCAATTAAATCACAAAAAGCCTGTCTTCAGATGATATAAACCCAGTAGTTTCCAAAGCCTTATGTGGGGATCCTGCAGCACGACTAACACTAAGGGCAGTGCTTTGAAAACATACCTAAGCACCTGTCACAGCCACACATATGTTTAGAGGAAAGAGCAAAATTCTACTTTGATGCAGGGAGTGGTCCAGAAAAAAAAACACATTAAGCACTCAAAAGTATGAACTCAAAGGATGTCTGATATGTTGGTATGCCAATCAACATATTCCATAACCAGAAAAAGTCTTACAATAAAATTGCCAGGGATCAAGAAAAAAATGAAGCTCAACCAGTGGGTAAATTTACACATTTATGTCTCGCTTAACCAGGAGGACTAGATGTGTTCCTTATACAACCAGAGGCTTATCTTTTTATTTTCTTTTTGGCTGTACTTGAAATATTTAACACTCTAGGTAAGTTTAGGTCTTCAGAATTTTAGGTTTGATGATATTGAACACGGTTTGTTAAAATTGGTCTTATTTCTCTTACTAAACCAAAGTAAAATGAAATGGGTAGATATTACACAATAAAGAATTCAGATTTCATTGTCGAGGGAAATTATTAAAATTCTTTCACTTCAGTTGTAACAAAATACTGGGGTACCAGGGATATGTCAAACTCATGGTCAAACAATAACGAAAATGTTCTGGTACACTTAAGACTTTTAAATTCTAAATCATTTTAAGCTATGATTAGCACAGGTTCTTTCAAAGTTGAATTCTTCAGTAAGAAAGTTACAAAAATACACCAAAAAACCTGAATTAAATAAAAACAATCATTTAAAGTAGATTTTTTTAAGATACTCTGGAAATGTGATACCTTTTTAAAACTGTAGAAATTAAAATGCATTTGAAATAATAGATTAATTGAAGAATAAAAATAATGACAATAAGATGTGACTAAATGTAGGCTCAGTATGGATAATCACTGCTTATTATATTGAAAGATCATGAATATAAAATTGAAACCTAAAAACAAATTTGGAAATTCAAGTTATGAAAACAACGGATTGGGATAATTTTTAAGTAGGAGCAATTTCAGTTTGTTCATATTTTAAGATTAGTATATTAATCTTTTTTTTAAAAAAACACTAAAAATTTAGTGGTTATATTAGTTTCCTACAGCTGCTGTAACAAATTGCCACAGGCTTGAGGCTTAACAACACAAATTTATGAAAGTTCTGGAACCACTGAGAAGGATCAGTTTCCTTGTCTTCTTCAGCTTCTCAGTGCTGCTGGATTCCTTCGGCCTGCACTTCCCCGTCTTCGCAGCACAGCCCTCAGCCTCTGCATCCACCATCACACCTCCTCTCTGTAGTCAAGTCAATCCCCATCTTCCTCCCTGAAAATGATGATGCCTTTTTGTTGTATTTCAGGTCCACCAGGTAATGCAGCACAATGTCCCATCCTTTCACCACATATGGTGACATTTACAGGCTCCAGAGACTGGGACACAGTTAACTTGGGGGCCATTATTCAGTCCTCCACATTGGTATGGAAAAATATATTTTACAAATTTTTTCCTAGAAGTTATACAATAAATCTTATCTGGATTAGCTATATATAGCATATTTCATTACTTTCCAATTTTAATGGAAATAATAACTTGGTGCAGTTGGCTAGCCATCGGTAGATTTCAAGAGGGCTGTTTCTGATAATTTCTATGTGGTCTCTTGGGCCAAGCTAGAGACACTGGGCAACACAGTGAGCATTTTGATTTCTTTCAAAGACAGGTATAAACCTCACTATTCATTCAGCTACCAGTTACATATACATTATTAACATGTATGCATTTTATTGTGTCTAATCAATGGATAAGAAATCTGGATTTTGAACCAAAACTTCTCAAAATTATTACTAACTAGTCAGGATAATTTTTTCCATTTAACTCTTCTCTTCTTTAAAAAAAAAACTATCATTATTTCTGGAAGGCAGGCCTGCCAAAGTAATGTAGGCTTTGGAGTTACAGTTCTGAGCTTATATGTGATCCTAGGTAGTAAAATGCTTAATATTTTAGCTTCTCAGTTAGTCATCTATAAAATGGTGATAGAAATTCCTTTTCCAGATATTTGTTGTGAGAACATTAGTGTTTTGCTATAATGGCTAGAATATAATAGTTGTTGAATACATATTAATTATCTTCCAACTTCTACATTAGAAAATGTTTCTAAAACATGCAGACTGAATCAAAATCAATTTACCATTGTTCAGTATGATGTATAGAATGAATGTAGATGTAACTGGTAACATGAAAACAGTAATGATCTCATTAAACATTCAATAGTAGCTTATATTATAAATGTGAAATGAGAAATACAGTTCCTAAGTTTAATAAGAGTCAGGCATTTGGTAAAAATGGTAAGGTGATCATTCTGTTATTTAAAAGGTTTTTTACATGTGTCATTAAATTATTATTGAATTGGCAATTCTTGCAATTTTCTAAATCTTTGGGTATTTATGTTATGTCATTCCAAAACATTTACATTAAAAATACTGGCAAGCCCTCAATAAATAAATGTGACTTAGGTATCAGAACAATAACTGTAAGAATCCCTTTGATAGTGATGGGTGATACAGGCATTTTTCTAAATCAGAGAAGGTTAGTATGAAAATCCACACACTGAGGTGTAAAGTAAAACTTCCTTTCCCCTACAAAAATATTTGAAGTAATTCTCTTGAGAAATGTCTAGTCTATACATCATTCTTAAGGAGGTAAAGAAGCTGATAGAGCAACTGTCCTTGCCAATGCAACACAGATCTCAAATATGCAGCAATTGGTCACTAAGGTGCTCAGATGCAGTCTAGAGTTTCTCAGATCTCCATAGGATATGTCATTAAATCTTCTCCTCCTGCTGGGTCTGACTTCTGGGGGAAAAGCATATGGTATAAATATTACTATATTTGGTAGTGAATACTAATGACTGCTCAGGAGGCTCATCCTTCAGTTTCTATGGCCTTTAGCATCTAACTGCTTATAAATGTGACATGCTACAATTTGATTTAATAATCTTTTTGAATTTATAGCTCAGAATTTGCTGTGTAAAATCTATCAGTAAGATCAGATACCCACATATATGGAAAGACATACACATTTATTTTTGTAGTTATCCCATTAATAGACTATAAAATTAAGATAAACAGACCAAAGCCTTCCAAGGCATGTTTTCACAAAGGTGCTTACTCCCCTAAATCAGAAGAATCTGGAAATAGATTCAACACAAACTCACATGCACAAACACAGACATGTAAGGTACATAGGGTAACACTTTTCCTACAGTGCCAGAACTGGAAGCTCAATGACAGCACACGAACAATATGGAGAATATTCTAATCACTGTAGAGTGGCAGAAAGTGTGCAGAAATTATTCTATGATCTATATAAAAACAATCAACAGCACACTCTGTATTATCATCAACTTGCAAGTTGAGTTTCATACAAGTTACATTATACAAGGCATATTAAAAAGAATTCCATGGAAAGAATTAAGAGAATTTTGTTAAAAATAGAATTTTATTCCACATAAAAAGCTTTCTAAAGTTTTATACAAAGTTAATTATATTGGCTCAGCAGCCTAAGAAATAGCATTGTATTACATAGTATGAAAGTAATATGTTAACTCAGATAGCATAAATCATTTTGGAAATTTGACTAATAACATAAATAATATACAGATTTCATTTCTTAAAGCCAATAGATAACTCTCAGAAGTTTGGTATATCTGCATCAAATGTTAGCATAAACAATATGGATTCCATAACATACACTGTTATTTTCTAATGTACCCATAATGGAAAAACTCCATAGTGAAAAACAGTATAAAATATAGATTTTGTATCAAAATGCTTTGTCAAAAACTACAGTCCACATCAGAAGTTAATATCTCTGAGGAATTAAATGATTAAAACAAAAACATATATATAGTACAAATATTCTTTTGTTCTTCACTTACCATGAGGCAAACTGCAAGGATTTAACCTTTAAGGGTTAAAGAGTTTAATCAATGTCAATGTCTGATCTTCTGAAGGCGATAAAGAACAGTCTGTCTAGCGATACCCAACAGAACATCACTTTGTCAAGCCACAAGGCGCCCAAAAGCTTGTCAAGTAAGTTACCAGAAACCTCTTTGTGGTTAGAACTCAGCTCCTTCCTGCTTGACCTATTATTTGATATTTGACCACTTGGTTGCAAGACACTTGCTCTTTCTAGCTGAAATGTCACTGGGGCATCTTGTCAGCTCCCCGACATCTCGGCCTGACATACAATTTTACTTTTGTGTGCTACAAGGCAGAAAATGCAGGGCAATGGCCTTGTTTTAAATTCTGTCAGCATCAAAGACGGGCGTCACTCTTGGGTCCTACCAACAACAAAAACAAAAGAGGAGTCTATTTTGAAGGTCAAAACAGCCATTACCTTGAAGTTTTTTAGCTTATACTAAATATATTACCTGCTATACTAGTGTGGGAACTGTCCTTATAAAGTGCCTACACATACCACAGAAATCCTCCTGGTACAACGGCTCTACTTTCTTATCAAATGCAGACTTGATAAAAGGATAAGTTTTCAGTGCCTGCAGGGACCAGATTCAGCAGTTAACTTCACTTGTTCAAATGGGCAAGTGGTATCATGTAGCTTTACAAGGAGCAACCTGACCTTCTCACATTGACCAGGAGTGACATTATTGTGCAGGAGAGAAGCAGTCACATCATTTCTGTTTTGCACAACCTGCTTAAAGTTTGCAACTAAATGCTTGTCTTCAGTTGAGCTGACAAGAGAGAAGAGGGGCTCAGTGAACCATGGCAGGGCTGCCATGAAATGACAGGAATCATTGGCATACATTTCAAATAGCTCTCTCAATCCTATTAAAGTATTGCAGTCCTGCTTTAAAATAGACAAGTATGAAACAACTTTGATAGATAGAGACTAAAATGGCTTATTGATTTTTTTAAGTCCGAGGGAAATTACCCAAAATGTGTCATTCTTTAACATTTAAAAATATGTTACATAAAAATGAGGAACAGTGATAATAAATAAAACTTAAGAGAAAAAAGTGGGCTATTTTGTTATTCGAGACAGAGATACCTGTACATATTAAGATATTGTACAATTTTTTAAAAACCTCTGTCCAATTGTACTGTTAACTCTTCCTCCATTTTTGTTCCATAAAGTCATAATCCAATCTGAGTTGGTCCTTTGACACTAGCAGACATAGTTACTGGAAAGGAGCGAGGTGATGTTAGAGCATGGGGTGCAGTATTTATAAATGTCTCCTTTAAGAATGCATAAGTTGTATCAAGTTCAGCTTGCAATGACAAAAAATTCCCCACACCAACTGTGTCAGCAGGAAGAGCAGCTCTTGAAGGAATGGAGAGATTCGAGTGGTTCCGTGATCCTGTCTATGACATACAAAAGAAAAAAACAAAACAAAACACTGAGTTGAAAACTCTCAAACAGAACTAAAAACAAGGAAGTAGACTAATAATCATTATATTAATATTATTTTCTAAATGTGACTGAATCTGGTTGTCCTATGCCATAAACTTTTCAGAAAAACGGGAGAAATACTAAAACTTAGTATAAAATTATTGTATCAAAGAGTCAATATAATTGGGTGTTTCTACCTCAGCTTCAATTCACTACAATTTACAGAAATCAATTCTAATAGTATTTATTTCATTATGCCTATGATACGTGCTATATAATATGGAAGGTTAGACTGCTTAGAAAATGAACTATGAATAGTTATGCTTTTTAAAACCTATCAGCCTGATTTGACAAACGCAACACAAAGAAATATAAGACAATCCCAGTGGCTTCTGAGATACAAAATTCTAGTGAGAAGAGCTTTTTGCCTTTACCTTCAATAATACTACCTCCTGTTTGGATAAGGACCATTCTTACACGTATTTGGAAATTGTGTATCAAAACAAGGCAGCACAACAGGAAAACAATCTCATTTTAAAACATTGCTGGTAGCAAGGCTGAAACTTATGAAATATCACACACACATGAAGTGCTTGAAAACAAAACTGACATTTTGATAAAGCTATGCATTTAAGCCTTTTAACATTGGTAATTAGTCATATCAATTTAATGTGAGTGAAATCTTAGCAGTAAAGCAGATATTTTGTAACATTTAAAGATAACAGAAAAAGTGATCAATTTTATGTTAGAATTTTCCAGATTCCCACAAAATAAATATTGCTGAGTTAACAAGTTTAGTCACAAGTACCTCCACTAAAAATCACATTTTGTATATTAAGAGTTTTTAAAAACTGCCTTTCTGGTAGATTGTCATATAGTTTTGATAAGAAAATAATGTATAGTATAAGGGTCTGCTTTATTATATCATGTCACACAAAACTGCTCCTACATGTAGAAACAAGAAAGAAGCTATTGCTGGCTTGAGGGAAGTATTAGAAATTCAACTGTTGTATACGTTACCATTTTTGTAGATTTTTTTAAAACTACAACTAGAGGAAAATCAATGTCTGCATCTAACACCTAGTTCAGCAATTTTCTTTGATCTCTGTTCTTTTGATTTCTTGATATTCCACTGCAGCCTACAGCTGACGGAAATCATCTCTTTTTATGCTGGAGGTTAGGAAAAAAAAAAAAAAAACCTACCTAAAATGGCCACTTGGATAGTTCTATGAAAGACAGGGTTTACCTCATCTCCATAGAAGGAAAAGAACGTCCTAAAATCGTGCACCGATGGGCCGGGGATTTAGCTCAGTGGTTCCGGCACCTGCCTCGCAAGCACAAGGTCCCGAGTTCGATCCCCAGTACCAAAAAAAAAAAAAAAAAAAATCGTGCACCGACTCTGTTTAGCAGCAGTGATGAAGTTTCACTCGCGGAAACTTAATAGTGGGCCTGAGCTTGTCAGTTCAGAACCTGAAAAAGGCGTTCTATCACACCAGGGACTGGAGGCACACTCCTGCACTTGCATGGCTATTAGAGCAGCTTCTCTGGGGTTTTTTCCAGCTGTGAATCTGAACTGGCAACATTGTGACCTGCCTGACTGTGCCGCTATGAACACTAAGGTGCCATCTTCAACCTCTCATTCTGCCAAACCTGGGGATGAGGGGAAAGCTGGAAGAGCCGTTAAGTGGTACACCTTGACTTTCTTCTCAATGAAACTTAGTTATAACAATACGATTTTTACTGGGATGAAATAGTACCATCAGGCAAGGCTTCAAAAGTTTGTTTTATATCATTTTTAGTACTTTCAAGTTAGATTTGAATGTATTTAGGGGTATACAAAGTATATTGTAATTTTTAAATATAATATGAAATGATTAAACCAAGGTAAATGAATACATCGCCTCAAGTATTTGACATTTTTGTGATGAGAACATTTCAGATTTACTCTACTAGTGATATTAAAATGTACAAGCCTATTATTAGCTATATTCACCACACTGTGCAATAGATTTTTTTATAAAACCAAATATTCTTGATAGTGTGATGAATGACTATTTTATGTACTTATCATAACATGCTGTGCTTTTCATCCTTTAGAACATGATCCTACTTATATAAAAGAGTTTACTGTAAAACAGTGTGCTGCTATGCCAGTGGTAGCCTCATGTATCTCATGTTTAACTGCATATTTGGATAATATCAAGGGGCCATCACAGATGATTGACGTATACCTTCTCAGTTTGCACTTAATAACATATTTCTCAGCTTATATTTCCATCACGTATCACATGACTGTATTGAAATTTAAATTTTAAAAATTTGGCCTATATGGAGTCTACTAGCTAATTAGAATTTTTTTCCAGACTACTACTTGTTCAATATTAGTTTTGAAAATCTTTCTAAAACAAATCACATCCTTTGATGTCTTGTTAATGCTTGAGACTTTTTTTAAGTTATATGGAAAAATGTTTAAGTACTTTTCAGTTTTGCTTTGGTTGAGTTCTATTATATTTGAATATTATTATAGTTTTTTCCCTTGCATTGCTTTTCTTTGAATAATTTTAATTTTTGTATATATGTGTGTTTAGTGAATGATAATAGTTATACATTTTAAAAAAATTTTTTAAACAAACATACTTATTCCTCCTGTATGGCTGAGTCTTTGTACCCTGTGATCATCATCTCTCAGTCCCCTTACCCCCAAAGCCTCTGGCAAGCACATTTGTTCACTCTACTCCTATGAATTCATTTGTTTTAGGTTCCACTTTAAGAACACACAATATTGGTCCAATGTTTGGCATAATCTTCTTCAACTTTATCAATGTTGAAACAAATGACAGACTTTGTTTCTCTTTTAGGTCCAAAGAGCATGCCATTGTGTGTATATTCCACACGTCGTTGTCCATTCATCCTGTGATGGACACAGTGATGGTCCATTCACCCAGTAATGGATGAAGACTATAAACTGGCTATTTTGCTCAGAGCCACAACAAAGATGGGATTCAAACATCTTCAATATACTGATTTGAGATTTTTCTGGGTATATACCCAGGAGTGGGATTGCTGCTTCATAAGGTAATTCTATTTTCAATTCTTTAGGATGTTTCTAGGTCTTTATACTTTAAATTCTGATCTAAGCAAGCTATATGTGAAAAGATAGGGTTGTACAGAATCAGACGGAGCAATGTTAGACATCCTCCAATGGTACTGTTTTCCTGCTGTTCTGATTAGAGAAAAGCAACTGTGCCAAGCTGACTCGCACTTCTGTTTTGCCAGTGTTAGGGTTATGTATAATCTCCCCAAACCTACATGCTGTACCTGAAGTTTCCTTTTTGATTTTGTGACTCCATCAGCCTAACACATGACAAATAAGGCAGGCATCTTTCAGGAAAGATCTCTACTGACTTCTCAATTCTCTGTAATATTCTACAGATCTTGGCACTATGCAAAAGGACCCCATTTGCCTTTCCCATCCTACTTTTTAATATGCCTGTTTTCCATTATGTATGTGAATGTACCCTTTCATCTAAGTTTTTTAAAATAAATAACCTTGAAATGGGTGTCGAATATTTCTCCAATATTTCAAATTAGTCTTAGTTTTTGCACATTATTTTCTGATCTTATGTTCTAAACATGGAAAATAACCTAACACCCTTAGGTGGGAAGGGAAGAGAGGAAGAGGGAGGAACTTTCTTGAAGACTTTTATCACCAAAAGGCATACTCTCCAGCAAATAAACAGGCTCACTTTTGTGTAAATGAGAACAAATTATTGTTTTTGCTACTAGGATCATCTGGCATGCTGCTAGAAAATAAGTTTTTTCACGAAATGGGATAAAATTTGATTTTAAGTCGCTTAGCATAAAAAGAAGCCAGCAAAAATTCTGGTAAAATTTTGATTTGAGAATATGATGTTAAAATAACAAGTAAATACTAATTATTTTCCTTGTTACAAATAACATCCAGAAATATTTCATAATGCTTTTTTAATGTAACACAGAGAGTAAAAGACAGTTAAATAACTTTTTGTCAGAGACCATTAAAAGTTAATATTCACCACCTGATTGTATATTTTAAATCTGCAAAGTCCATGGTCATTTAAACTACTTTTTAAACTGCTAAGGTGTTCTAGTAGTCTCTTATGTAAATCTAAATTTAGGCAATTTTTCAAAAAGAAATTAGTTACCTGGAATAAAAGCTAGGTGTCATGTGAATCTTTATGGAAGCACTTTTATTTACTCAATAAGCTATAAATGATTCTATTTGAACTGTTAGAGTCCATCAGCTAAATACATATTCACAATACCAAATGTGTCCACTAAATTTATCCTTTTTAGAAATCTTATGAAATATAGTAATTGGACACATCCAACAGCCATTTTTCAGGGCTTTAAAATCTTAATTTTTAAGAATGTTTTCCAAACAACAAAAAATAAAGCATTAGCCTAATAATAAAATAATTCCTTAATAAATTATCTGTGAATCAATGCTAGTTTGCCAAGTGAGGTTTCTGAAACAATGACACCAAGCCATCTGTCTCCTGTGTAACATTTATGATCAAGTTAAATCTAGAATTTAGTATTATGAGAAATGAGGAAAATGTAATTTAGTAAGCTTGAGTAATACCGCATGGTGATTATGCTAAGCACATAGAGTGTGGTGAAAGGAACTTTAGACTGTAGGCTGGCAGACTACAGTTTCTCCTCCCTGTTCTAGTACAATCTAATTGGGTCATTTTAGTCCACTCAAGCCTTGCTTCCCTTGTTTATATCCCATAAAATGAGGGGCTGAGTTGTTTCCAGCTATCATGTTTTACAGGTCTGTTATAATTCCATGTGTGTTCACATATGATATAATATGAACACCTAACTCATGTGGGCAACATTAACCTAGTTTCTCAATTATAAAACTTAAAGATTTTGAGAAGATACAGATGGGGAGCAATACATACTGCACATGGTACTAAAAAAAAAA